TTTCTGTAGAAATCAGTTATTTGACAAGAACCTGCTATAAAAGAAGTGACACTTTCCTATTTTTTAACAATAAAATCAGTTTTAAGTTGATTTTAATTTTTTACTGTGTGTACTTCTAAATTAAGTTTTTATTGTAATAAATGATGTCTGAATAAATTCAATGAATTGTATTTTATTAGCTTTTGTTTTATTGTACAAAAATCTAATCTTAAGCTGTACTTTCCCCTACACAAGCGCTCAAGAATATCCATTTTTCAAAAGGAGGCAAAGTCATTCTAAGTCCAAAACATTCACTGCAGCTTCAGAGATCGACGATGTTTGCACTGTTGTTGGCAGGCAACCAGTCGTTTCTCATAAATGTCTCATCTCTTTCTGTTTTAATCACTTCCTGGTTCCCAGCTCCAAAAGTGTTGTTGGCTTTCTGTCCATCGTGAGGCTAAGTAAGACACAACCTCTGAAAGAATGACATTTTTAGTCCAAATATGTACAAGGGACCACAACTATTGATATATTAGCTGACACTGGGTCTGTGCACAAAGCCATTAAGTGCAAACTCAGCCAACATTTTTGATAAAAAAAAAGAAAAAAGCTTGTGATGTTTATATTTCACTCACCAAAGGCTTTCTTTGGCTCCACAAGACGGAGGGTGAAGGGAATGCCTCTTGGTTGCTCTTTTAGCATCTTTGCCACCTCATAGTGTCGACATCCCACAATGCTCTGGTCATTTATAGCCTCAATATGGTCACCAACGCATACCGTCTTCAGCCGGTCTATAGTGCTGCTTTCTTTTATTCTCTAGAGAAGGAAAGAGTTGCCTGAACTCAAATCTGTGTCATGAAACTTAATCAGAATAATGTAAAAGTACAAACTGTCAGTGAACAACAAAYACCTTTTGCCTTTATRAAATTAAGTTTAATTTTTTTGATCACTTTCCCTTTGTTGGAGAGTCAAACTGACCTGAAGGCTATTTCTGTTCTGTTTGCGAGCAGCCTATTAGAAACACACATTTCTGGTCCTTTCATTCACCTTAATGAAAGCATATCCAGCTCCGTTGTCTGTGATGGTGAGACCCAAAGCATCTTCTGTCTTTGTCACCTCCACTTCTTTCGTCTCCCCTCGGATGTGAGCGAAGATGAAGTCCTCCAGTCCAATCTGTCCCCCCAGCAGCTTCTGCATGTCCACTTTATGGGAGTTCAGGGTACAGAAAAGAATCTAAAGGGACACAAAATCTAGCTTTGACAATATCCAGTTTCTCACATTTACTTAGCAAACACACATTATCTGTTTTGTCAGTTCTTTGTGTTTGTCTCAATGACTGAGTTATTATTACAGTATAATAGAATGACATTATCAACCATGTTCAATTTATCAGTCTAATTTGGCTGTAAAGAGCTCCTTTAGKTGTTAAAGTACTAAAAAATAAATTTGATTTTGATAAAAGGTAAGTGAAGAAAAGCAGAGGATTAGAGCTTCTGCAATATAAGAAATGAACAGCAGAGGGCAGTAGAGGCTTGAGGTCTGTTTTTCCCAGTCTGAAGCCCAGTTCAGTAACCAAAGAATCATTATTAAGACTTATAATAATGCAAAGCATTTGAGGTGGCATAACTAGGTTGCATAATTTTCTGGTATCAATAAACCTGGCTTTACACTCTGGTTAAGGAATTTCAGAAAATTTGTTTTGCACTTTTGATCTTTTCACGATCCTAAGTCAGTTCATCTCATTTAGACATGTTTCCTGTCTAATTCAACAAACTAACATCAAAGATAGTATAGTATCAAGCTTTATTTTCTTGTATTGTTTAATAATCAATGAAAKAAATTAAAAAGTATCTTAATGAACTGCTATTTACAGAACCTCTTCAACAGCACTGTCTTTGCMAACAGAACTATCTGACTGGAGTCCAAGCTCGTCTCTTGTGTCTGACTGTACGTTAGACATTCTGCTCTCTCCTCAGTCTAATGGAGGTCAAGGAAAGTGCTTTTTAATTGTTGCAGTACATTTCCTGATATTTTCCTATGAATTCTCTGCTGTCTGATAAGCCATGTTGAGCAGAAACACTAGCTGAAGCAGTGACTGGACTAATATTCATTTTGTGAAATGTTTGTTTTTTATTACAAACACACTACATAAACTATTACTTATATATTTTTTTCTAAATTATCCAGCTTTTGTTTCAGCAGTATTGTTTGATTGTGGGTTCACAACAAGTGCACTTTGAATCAAATGTCAAACTGTTGATAAAATGTGAGCTTTTTATTTTTCAGCTGAAGATTTTGTTGCATTATGAAAGACTGTGGTTTATTTCAAACTTGTTAACTATATACAGATAATTATTTTGAGCAAAAAGAGAAACAAAAAATAAAGGAGAAACATATATATA